GGCTGCAACGTTTGCAATGCTGTATGTGTGTGTGTGAGGCACCGGCGCGATCGAACAGCGGAAGCAAACAACAAAAAAATAGTCTGTTATTTTTGGTCATACAGCTCATTCGAACCTGCAATGTGTTTACTTTATTTCTGTCATCTCGGTTTCCTTTCCGTGAACTTTCGTAGAGCACCGCGCCACACAAATAGCATATGAACCAAACTCATGTAGCAGCTTGATATAGCCTATCTCTCAGTCTTTTCCTTTCGGTTTGTTAATCTGTTAATTGGGCTATTTAAGTCAAATATTTTGCATAGTCATTCATTTTATATATAGACTATGATTTAATAAAACCAGATTTTGTTATTTTTAGTTAAATTTCATTTTTGTTGCTTGTCTGCGCTCGTCCGCAGACGTTTTCACTTCTCCGACCCCGCAGCTCTCTCCGATAGCTTAGTGTTACCAGTCCAGGTGTTTCCAGGTTTTACTCCTGCTATTTCTCCATGTTGAGAGTTTGGTGTCCCACATATTGCACCTGACTATGCATTCTTATCCTTTTCTCCGATAAACTGAAAATAACAGGAGTGTCCATCTCACAAATGTAGAATCCGTCTCTGCAGTCATCTCAACCATCTAATTCCAGCAGCAGGAAATAGACAAACTATTTTACCCGTGGAATTTTTTCTCTGGTGCTGTTTTGAGGTGTTAGTAAATTCACCACTTAATTTTGAGTTAAAATATGTTGTTGTAACTTGCGTTATTGAGATTGTAACGAGTAATAATATTACCCAAATTTGATTAGTAATGCGTTATATTACTGCGTTACAGCAAAAAGTAATATACTACTGTAATATTATTACTTTTGTAATGCGTTACTCCCAACACTGGTGCTAATCTAGTCTGTACATGTCTGAATCGATTGTTATCACTAATTTGCCTACTATGCTATATTGCTATTATGTTTAAGTATATATATTATGTATAAGTAACAGAGTGAGTTTATATTTCATTACTAATTGGTTATTGTTATTTCTGTTTGTTTAGAACCACTCATGCTAAGCTACACCCCAAACTACTCTGTACTACTCTGCCATACTCTCTGCTGCCTGTACTACAATCATTCACTCAACCAAATTCAAGGACTGTAAACCTCTACAAGTCTTAAACCATTAAAGTGTACTTCGTCTCTGACCGGACGACTTGTGTCTGCTCAATTTCCACCAGCACCCACACTAGTCTAGCTCACAATTATGAATGACAACGATCGATCGCTTTCAAAGAAGCACTGAATGGTACTGACGTCACCCGCGCCTCCAGTGCAAGGTGGTCCCGCCCACAGGCCAATCGGGATGCAGGAAAAAGTGGAACTTTCTCGAAGGACCAATGGCAGGCTACTCTCCATGACCATATCGGGAAGCTCGCTAAGTGGAACAGAGCTCCGACCAATGGCGAGCCAGACGACGGGCCAATCAGGATGCAGGATAAGTGAAACAGTGGGACAGAAGTGGAACCGAAGATAGGCTCGCACGGGGCGCAAGGATGACATGCAAATTCGTGAAGCGTTCCTCATTTTTGAACGATTTTTAATCGTTAAACGTAATTAAGATTAAGCTGGATTTAAAAAAGTCTTTGACGTACGGAGAAAGTGCCTAAAACATGCACGTATATCAAACTTTGTGAATTGACAGTGTGGAGGCATTTTATTCACCATTGATTTATGATGTAGCAGCATCCCAGTACAACACAGTCCAGGGGCCCCAGTTTACCCCCCTCTCGCAGTGTGAACTTTGCTGACTGTCTCTGTAAATACAAGAACACTGTAAAAAATTATGTGTCAACAGAAAAGCAACAAAAAAAAAAAAACTTCAAACTAAGGACAACTTCATAAAGTAAAAGTTGAGTTTTTGGCCACTGCAATGTGATGATTTGACACTAAGGAGCATTAAATAGAAGAATACAGCAGTTTTTCTTTTACTGTTTTTTAGGTAGTACCGAATACAGAGCCGGCGGTTAATGTGAGAGGCCAGGACCCCCTTACTGCCTCAATGCTGGCAGCTGCACCCTTGAAAGAGCAGAAACAACTCCTGGGTACGAAACGTGCACACACGATCACTTAAAGGTTTAAAGATGTGAGCAGCTTGAATCATTTTATATCACCTGTATCCTAAACCTGAATGAACAATACTGCTCAGTAGAGGGCACTACTAGAATAGTACTGTTAACTGTTAATAAACGACTTTTCACTGTAGTACTGTTATATTTATCCAGTGAGAACAAATTAATTCTTTGTGAATTCCCCTTTACAGTGAAGTACTGAAAAAAACTACAGTTGTCGAAACTTTACAGTGTCTATTTAGTGTAAAGTAGCAGATAGTTATCATATGGCTTCAGAAGAATATAGCACACAATCTATGTACTACATCGTAACGTGAGTAAAATGACCGAACTGTTTGCATCCTATACAGGTGAGCGGCTGTATCCACTTATCCAGGCCTTGCATCCGACTCTTGCGGGAAAGATTACAGGCATGCTGCTGGAGATTGACAACTCTGAACTACTGCACATGCTCGAGTCTCCAGAGTCCCTGCACTCCAAGGTTCACCTGCTCAAAACATGTACTCGACATTTAGTCTCAAAGATCAGATTTTGTTTGATCATTGCACTTTTCTGCACTGTTTAGGTTGAAGAGGCTGTAGCGGTGCTTCAGGCTCATCAAGCCAAGGAACTGTCCTGACGTTGGGGGTTGGGAGCTGCAGTGCTGGGGGAGGAGAACGGATCACATGACCTGAATGCGTCAGCACCAAGCGGCAACCTCCCGCTCTCTCTCGTGAAGCCAACAAGGAAGTGACAAACTGTAATTCATCAACTGGCTGCTAGAGGCTGGCTGCAAAAGGGAGTCAATCCCATAGACTCCCCATGTTAAAATGCCCAACTTTACAGCAGAAAAAAACATGTTTACAGCCTGGTTCAAAAAATGATTTTGGTCTATATAGCTAATTTTTCTCTTGATGATTTTTTTTATAACTCATCCGTTTAAATTATATTAAGCCTTAAAGTTCTGCATAATTAAGGGCGTGGCCACTTGAGTGACGGGTGGATTGCCGCTGCTGTCACCACTGTCGAGCTAGGTGGGCGTGGCTTCAGCAACCTGCTCCCGCCTCTTTGCCCATTTTCGATTATCCGGGAGTGACGCACTGCCAAGATGGCGACGGCCGCCTCCGCCCAATTTTGAGCTTCAAAATGCTCTTCGGAAATCTACGGGTGACGTCACGGACACTACGTCCATGTTTTTATACAGTCTATGGTCAGCACTGAGAGCCCATCTTACTGGCTAGAGGGCCGCCTGATCCGCATGCTTGCCTGTTTCTTGGCAGAAAAACATAAATTACACCAAATATATAGTTTAAAGGATCAGAAATTATTGCAAATGCAACATGCAAATGTTGCAGCACATCAGATGTGCTTGTATTGTCCTGGTAAATGACTAAATCATGGTTTAACCACTCACCACCTTCGAGAAGACTTTCCCGGAGACACTGCTATATATACCAGACGTCTAGACCACTTGTTCGTGCTTGCTTCGGCAGCACATATACTAAAATTGGAACGATACAGGTCAGCATGGCCCCTGCGCAAAGGAACGCTGTACTGCCTGTCCTGATGCATCCGCCGGAATGTTGAACTCAAAGGCTTGGTGCCCATGCCGGACCGGTTCCGGATGCTTAAACAGTACAGGTGGGAGGGGTTCAGAGGCCACCAAGGGAGTGGTAAAGGTCTGAATACTCTGCTCCAAGACCTCCCTTTCCTGCCTCCTTTTCCGTGCATTGTGCGTGCATAAGTGTGCTGATTTAACTCAAACAGCTGCAACCTTGTTTCAGCCATAAGTCTGGGGCTGTCCAGGACTACATCTTGTCCAATTTCGTTCCCCACATCTGTCACCCACGCAGCGGTGCCAGCAGCATCACCAGCTAGCTTCTTGGTGACCTAAAGTACATGATAAGTATTATCATTATCAAAGGAACAGGACATTTTTATTTTACAATGAAAAAATAACACTAAATGTAACACTAAATCAGGTGTTACCTTTTTGGTGGAATCCATCTTTAAGATGGAGCCATAGACAGAGGTGTGACGGGCCTTTAGTTCAGGAAGCCGTTTCAGTACGTCTTTAGCTTACACTGACAGCAGCCAAGATGGAATAGGCACAGGCACCATCTGTGGCAGCGGGGCAAAAAGACTGCTGAGATCAGTGTTCTGGGTCACAAAATTCCTCAGCACAGACAGGTGCATTGTTGACTGGCCCAGGAAATGTTCTTTATGCCTGAGGCACAGGTGCCTGTACAGAGCTGGGGCACTGTTCCCCAGCGTGCGCCCCTGCATCAATCTCACAACCTCCCTATCACAACCTATAGATAATAAAGAAGACCATAGCACAATGTCAGACTATTAAGTGTGTGCGTATTATGTTAAGGAACTTAAAAATACCTTATACCTGTAGGTTAGGACTGCAGGAAATTGTTCACCGTGGCTGGGATCCAACTGGTCCAGGATGTTTCGTGACCAGGCTGCCAGCTTCTTTTTACAGGACCGGCATTCAGTCACATAAAATACCACCCATTTAGGTCTAAGAGCCTCCGGAAGCTGTTAGCTGGATCCCAAGGCGATGTCACAACCTATAGATAATAAAGAAGACCATAGCACAATGTCAGACTATTAAGTGTGTGCGTATTATGTTAAGGAACTTAAAAATACCTTATACCTGTAGGTTAGGACTGCAGGAAATTGTTCACCGTGGCTGGGATCCAACTGGTCCAGGATGTTTCGTGACCAGGCTGCCAGCTTCTTTTTACAGGACCGGCATTCAGTCACATAAAGTACCACCCATTTAGGTCTAAGAGCCTCCGGACAGTCTTGTACATGCCGGAAGCTGTTAGCTGGATCCCAAGGCGATGGCATTTGGGCTGGGAGCACAGCAGCTTGTATGGCCACATGCGGTTGGGAACCCAGAGGAACAGCCTGCTGTGAAAGAAGGCTGTTCCTCCCTTACTACTAACAAACCAGTTGAATTGCGTTGATGCCCAGTTTAATTGAAATGTTATTTATTCTGCCAATGAGATTCGTTTTAACATTGAATGAAATTGGCCAGACATGTTCATTGGTCCTTTGGAAGTGACGTCATGTCGCATCAATTACCACAATGCACAGCACCTTGACCTGGACCTGAGAGAAATTAAAACAATCAGTGGAAGAAAATGGAGGAACATGATTCAGCTGTGAATACAGTCCAAAATCAGCTACAGGATCAAGAGCACCCGTGGCTGTACCTTAGCGAATTATTTTCTTGTAGTGTTATTAGTAAGGATTCATACAAGATGAAATGTATCCTTTGTCTCCCACTCACCAAGGAAATATCTGCCTTCAAAAGTTCACCATCAAGCTTAAAGAAGCTTATTGAGGTAAGTTAGTTTTTTGTTTTACTACTGCTTTTTTTTGCACATTTTGACCTTGACTGGCAAGCCGCTTATGTGTAGTAGACCTATGTTCGCTAATGCATGCGATTGATGATATAAGGCTTACATAATAAAATGTTAGGAATGCATAATTTATAACTAAATGCATAACTAAATTATTTGTCATGGTAATTGTCTGCAATCTGTGGCAGTTGAGGGTTTTGGCAACTTTGGCGCCTATAACGTTAGCTGTATTGCTTTGAATCATCATCATTATTGTCCCAAGATCTCATTGTGGTTGAATTCATGCGCAAAAGAAGATATCCATGAATTGCATGCCCAAGCGAGAAAATGTGTTTCTGCAACAAGATCTGGATTACCGAAAATCACGTATTTAATGCAAAACTAATGCAACTAAATCATTACAAATGACTATCGAATCAATCCACCGTCATGTCAGCCTTACAGTTCTGTGTTTTTGTCAATGAGAAATATAAATTCATGTTCGATAGTCACTAAATTATATTGTATCTCTAAAATCAACAAGTGTTTAACATTATAAAGTGTGCATTGGCTGCAAATGGCTCAGTTGTTAATAATGCTTTAATCAGAGAGTGCAAAAGTGTAATTAAGTTACATTTATATTGCATACCAATATAAAGACATGTTTTTATAAATATTTATTTATTTGTTGTTGTTTTTTTTTCTTTTGTTTTACAGAGAATGCACCCAAATTACCTCAAAAACTACTCTAAATTGACAGCACAGAAGAGAAAGATCGGGACCTTCACCCATGCTTCCAGCAGTGAGCAACTAAAAGTTGACTCCGTTTTCCCAGTCAAACATGTGTCTCCAGTCACTGTGAACACAGCTATATTGAGGTACATCATTCAAGGACTTCATCCTTTCAGCACTGTTGATCTGTCATCATTTAAAGAGCTGATTAGTACACTGCAGCCCGGCAGTTCCATCATTACAAGGCCTACTTTATGCTCCAAGATAGCTGAAGTTTCTCTGATCATGAAGCAGAAAGTGACTGCTGCCATGAGAGAAGTTGAATGGATTGCAACTAGGGATGCACCGATACCATTTTTTCAGAACCGATCCGATACCAAAATTCTGAGTATCGGTCGATACCGATCCGATACCAGCACTGTTTTTTTTAATCAACGTAGAATTTCTTCACCTCAGTGTGTTGACCTGATCATCACTGTTTTGTGTGTTAAACACAATCTACTAAATATAGACAACTTAAAAGAAAATATTTTTAAAGAAAAATAACAATTGAAAAAATATATAATCATAATCTGACAAAAATACTATTATAAACTAGGTTAGTGAATAATTCAGCGGCAAATGTATTCTAGAAAAATCATGAGTGCACAATAATTTTATAAAATCTATACATTTAATGAAATAATTTAGTGGGGAACGAATAAGTGAATAAGTGTAGGACTAAATCGGGTCAAATGTTACATTGCTCTTTGTGTTGTTGTAAAATACATTCATGAAAAACTATATATATATATATACAGTGGTGTGAAAAAGTGACTGCATGTTGTGTTTACTTGTGTTATCTTTTACTAATATTTAAATTTGTTTGATGATCTGAAACATTAAAGTGTGACAAACATGCAAAAAAATAAGAAATCAGGACTTTCACACCACTGTATATACTATAAATTAAAAGACATTTCTTTTAAATGTATAGCACAGTAATGGAGGATAGATAGGACAGAACAAGAAAGGCTTAATAATCTTTCATCGCGCAAAAGTATTACGTATTATAATATGAAAGGCTCAATACAGGGCGAAGCGCTTATGCGCATCCCGTGCACAGAATGATGCGCTTGAAGCAACACAGAGTCACAGTGCGCAAAAAGTGAAGAGATGTTAATGCATAGTGTATTAAATCTGTGCAATAGTTCAAGCCTTTTCTTTTAACAGTTTTAAATCTCAGTTACTGTGCGCTCTTGGAGAGAGTTTCATCGTCTTGACTGTCGAAACTGAACGTGGCACACAGTTTGAATGCTGAATGGAGGATGACAGACAGCCGCAGAGGAGAGAAGAGTTTACATGAACTTGACTTAAATATTCATCTACCAAACACATTAAACTATGGAACGGCTTCAGAACACTTGGAATATAGTGCACGAAAACTTTATGGTGCTTTATAATGTTTTTGTGCCTTTTGTGCGGCTTAACAATAACAGAATAGGATGCTCACAATATCGGATTTGGGTCAGTCTTGTCTGACCGATACCCGATCCGGCAGTAAATGCCAGTATCAGAACTGATACTGATACTGAGTATCAGATCAGTGCATCCCTAATTGCAACCACAGTGGACTGCTGGAGTGCACGAAGAAAATCATTCACTGGTGTAACTGCTTAC